AAATTCGTGTGTAAATCAAAGTATCTTATATGTCATTTCAACACGGAAAGAAATTTGCTGGATCCAGATCTGAAAATAATTTTTGTTCAATAACCAAAATAATTTTGTGCGAAAGACAAAATGATTGCTAGAATATCAAAACGTTTTGTAGCAATGCTTATCAGTTTTAACATTCCAACAAATTATTACAATTATTTTGATGATTCAACAAAAAATTACTTTCAGATCTGTATTCAGCAAAATTTTTAAACCTTTCATCAAAATCGTTCTTTACGTGAATACATCTACAATCGCAACTGTGTTGTTTAAACACATCAAATTAGTAAATTATGTGTTGTTTTAACACACCTGCAGATAACACACTTGTTTGTACAGGGTTTCTACTGCGAAAAAAGATTACCCACCAATTGTACTCGCATTGATAAAAATCAGTTATAATCGATATGTTTGTCGATATTGGAGTGCGCATTCTTGTTCCATAGATCAAGAATTTAATTTCCTTTTCTAGCCGTATGTTAAATCGGTAACAAACTGTTCTCGATCCATTTGAACGTGCTCAAACGCGAAACAAACGCGAAGGGGGAAAACAGAAGGAGAGAGAGAAAGAGAGATCGATCAATCACTCTTCTCGCGCGGAGGAGAAGAGGGTGGTGAAGAGCTACGCGCAACGGTACGAATGAATTCTCGGATCTCCCGCGACCATTTCGCCCCCGTTTTCACGCGAGGAGAAGGCGGAGAGATTGACTCCGGAGCAGAATCGCTTTCTTATATAGACGATTAAGCGAGCGAGGCGGGCGGCGTTTCGCTGCCACCGGTAAGAAAGAAAGTTCCGCGCGCGTCAAGCCTGCTAAAAATTCAAACGCGCGAATTTCCCCGGGAATAAATTTCCAAGTTTCCCGGCCGAGAACAGCCGAGCAAATAGATCGGTGCGCCGCGCCGTACTGCCAGCCATCAGCCAGCCGGGGAGCCAGCCAGCGCGCGCTGGTCCAACTGAAAAGTTTGGCGCATTGTCGGCGAATAAACGGAAACGATTGTTGTGCGCGACGCTCCGCGTGGAGGGATGGAGGGTCTGAAACTTTGCGGACGCGCGCGATGCGCATTTATTGGTAACTCGCGATTGGCAACGCGAATGCGTCTCCCATCACGCGGGGAGGTGACGTAAGTCAGAATAGACGAGCGTGGGACGGCGCGAAATAAAAAGCGCCGTTTTAACAGAATAACTCATTCAGAAAAAAAGAGAACGCAGGCACACCGCGCGCATAGCGCGAAGTGCTATCGAGATACTTCGTTGAACGCCGGTGCGGAGAATAACAACAGAGAAAGATTGCTATTCTCATCCTCGCGAGATGTAAAGCGCTCTTGAACGTTGACATGTACGTAAGAGAAATAAATCGATATCCGTGGAACATTCGACATGAAGAAAGTGTCTCGATTATTACAATATAAAAGTTGGAAAATAATATATATTATTTTCTTTATAAATTTATTCTTATAAATATCTAAATATTGTCGTAAACATAGAAATTCCTTTCCACGAAAAGATTAGAAGTTTTGTTGAAACTGACAATTGCCTGTGTCAATTTAGGCGCTGACAAAAATTAATATCCCACGTACCGCAATGAATACTGAAAATTATAGCTGCGAAATGAAATTTTAGTTAAGGGAAGATCAAAGTGGAGCATTGAGGGACTACAGTGGGATACACGTGACTACAAGCGGAAACATTGCAGCACTTGGTCAATCATGAATTGGACGTGCTTTGCGCGAGACTGCTTGTCGTACTCGGAATAGCTGTACCAGTCATGACCAGTCTTAACCACAGAATACCAGTTGCTCGGAATCAGATCGCTGATGACATTGATGGACCGTGCGTGCATCTACCACTTGTAGCACATCTCATTGTCTCTGTACCGTCTACCTTCCCTACATTCGTAACGAAAGGACACACTTGAAGTCCGACTGATCCCTTGTGCTTTCGAGATCTCTAATGCCTTGTGATTCAGAGAGCGAAAGTCAAGAATAATATTCTAATGCTATTTTATATTTGATAATACCTACACGGAAAGAACACTTTTGCTGAATCCAGTTCTGAAAATAATTTTTGTTCAATAATCAAAATTATTTTGCGCAAAAGTCAAAATGATTGCTAGAAAATCAAAACGTTTTTTTATAGCAATGCTTATCAGTTTAAAACATTTCAACAAATTATTTTAATAATTTAATAAAAAATTATTTTCAGATCTGGATTTAGCAAAATTTTTAGACCTTTCAACAAAATCGTTCTTTCCGTATATCATTTTACTTCTTTGAAATTCAAATTATGTAATAAGATCAATAATTATTCAAAGAATAATCGTAGAAAAAAAATTAAGCTCGTCTGCGAAATCATTGATGGCTGATTAAAATATACTATGTACATACACGGAAAGAACAATTTTTCTGAATCCAGATCTGAAAATAATTTTTGTTCAATAATCAAAATTATTTTGTGCGAAAGTCAAAATGATTGCTAGAATATCAAAACGTTTTATAGCAATACTTATCAGTTTTAACATTTCCAACAAATTATTTTGATTCAATAATCAATTATTTTCAGATCTGTTTTTAGCAAAATTTTTAGGTCTTTTAACAAAATCGTGTAATACAATGACCAGATCGCGAAGAAAGACATTGTAAAATAGTAATTGCTATGTGTTTCTCATTACACATATCATATTTAAAAAAATGTGCATGTCGTCGTACACTTAAACGTTTATGAATTGTGAAAGGCTCCGATTATCGTACTTCTGCATGTCATTCACTGGGTTCTGTCACTTCCCAGTAAACATCCAATATCTTATGTATATACATAGAATATCCATAATGTGAAAAAAATGTACTGTACATATAGTGTACGTACGTAAAATATACATAAAAGAACATTTATGGATATACATAAAAAATATATAATATGTACTTCGTATGGATATACATATAATGTATATTCAAACATGATCGGTTCCATGTATTATCTAAAATATACCTCAAGTACATTCCATGTATGTACATCAAATGTGTATACCTACAATATACGATGATGTAGATACATTTATGGATATACATAGGATATCGTATGGATATACATATAATGTATATTCGAACATGTTCGGTTCCATGTATTAAATAAAATATACCTCATGTATATTCCATGTATGTACATCAAATGTGTATACCTACGATATACGATGATGTAGATACATTTATGGATATACATAGGATATCGTATGGATATACATATAATGTATATTCGAACATGTTCGGTTCCATGTATTAAATAAAATATACCTCATGTACATTCCATGTATGTACATCAAATGTGTATACCTACGATATACGATGATGTAGATACATTTATGGATATACATAGAATATCGTATGGATATACATATAATGTATATTCGAACATGTTCGGTTCCATGTATTAAATAAAATATACCTCATGTATATTCCATGTATGTACATCAAATGTGTATACCTACGATATACGATGATGTAGATACATTTATGGATATACATAGGATATCGTATGGATATACATATAATGTATATTCGAACATGTTCGGTTCCATGTATTAAATAAAATATACCTCATGTACATTCCATGTATGTACATCAAATGTGTATACCTACGATATACGATAGATCGGAAGAGCACACGTC